CGATGTCTCCCCTATCCCCCTTTGTCTACACTCCTTCCTCTTTCATTCCCCTCTTCTTTCCTTCCCTTCACCCGTTCTTCGCGTCATCCTTTTCCTCTCTCTATCCTCTCATACCCTCCATTCCCCCTTTCATCCCCCTCCACCACTCCTTTATTCGTTCCTCGCGTCTCTACTCTCGTGTCTCCACTACCTTCCCTTCCTTTTCTTCCCCGTCCTCTTCCCCCCTTCTATTTATCCTCCTTCTCTTCCACTTCTCTTCCCTCTTCTCTCCCACCCGTCATGGGCTGGAATGTTAAGTGAAACTTGGATTAATCTTTTGAGGGTTGGCAGCTGAGAACGTCACCGTCACCGTCACAGGGGACGTAGGGACTGCCGCCACCGTCACAGGAGACGTAACAACAGCCGCCACCGTCACAGGAGACGTAACAACAGCTGCCACCGTCACAGGAGACGTAACAACAGCTGCCACCGTCACAGGAGAAGTAACAACAGCCGCCACCGTCACAGGAGACGTAACAACAGCCGCCACCGTCACAGGCACCGAAGGACAGCCGTCACATTAACAGAAAATCGTAACTGACACGATTGCGATTGGGTCTCCAATCACGACTGATTCCCTTTGCAGCTGGCGTCACAGTATCCACCACCGTCACACAACACCTTAAGTATGATCCACGACCGTCGCACAACGCCTTACGTAAGATCCACGACCGTCACACAACCACTGACGCAAGATCCACGACCGTCACACAACCCCTGACGCAAGATCCACGACCGTCACACAACCACTGACGCAAGATCCACGACCGTCACACAACCCCTTACGCAAGATCCACGACCGTCATACAACACCTTACGTAAGATCCGCAAGACATCCTCCCTCGTATGCCGTCACAACATACGCGATACAGCCGGATACGGCCGGTTACAAGACGTCCATCTTACGACGTGCGAGGTGTATCCGAACGTCTTCCGAGTCCGGATTGTGACCAATGTTATCCTTCTCGGTGATTATCGACGTCGTTCCGGTTAGTTTGACGTCTCCTGTAATCTTTTTGACGTTATTAATGAGGTCAATTACAGTTTGCAAGGCAGTCTTAATTATTACTGCGATCGATGGGGGAATTGGGAAGAGTAATTTGGATTTTGAGTTATATGAAGCAGGAGAAAAATTGTGAGATTAGAATGGTTAATCGAGTGCATAAAAAAAATTGGTAAATTGGTTGGCGTTGGTTAGTTGATTTGTTGCGAATGGCTTAGTTTTATGTCAATAATTAGTTGTAGCTTAAGTTACAGCACGATTAGTCGCCTCGGCGTTGTGTTACGGCGGTGTTATTAGCGTTTTAATAACGTGAAATAGACGTTGTAGTTAGGTTGAGTGTTTGTAGGGTAAATGTAGTTTTGCAACATTGGTGCTAACTACGGGGGGGGGGGGTTAACAGTTACCCATTGATGGGCAGGACTGATGTACAAGTCTCGGGAGGTCCGTGTTGTTGTTCTTGTTATAGATTCAGCTACTCGGAACAAGTTCCAAGTAGCACGGGCTATGGTGAGCCCGTAGTGGACTTACCTGGCACAGGAGCGGGGCAAGTAGCACGGGCTATGGTGAGCCCGTAGTGGACTTACCTGGCACAGGAGCGGGGCAAGTAGCACGGGCTATGGTGAGCCCGCAGTGGACTTAACCTGGCACAGGAGCGGTGCTGTGATCCGTGTTCATTGATGGTTAATGAAGACTAAGCCACCCAAGAGGTGGCACGGGCATGAATAGCCCGTAAGTGGTAGAGGGGGTGGGGGTAGGGGGGGGAGGTTCCGTGTTGCTGTGTACTGATGTAAATCATTTACACTCAGACGACCACAAGGAGAGGTGAGGAGAGTGCTGGCGGCTGTAACTCTTACAGCCGCGCTCCTGTGCCAGGTAAGTCCACTACGGGCTCACCATAGCCCGTGCTACTTGGAACTTTTTGTTCCCGGTAGCTGAATCTTAAACAACAACAACAACAACGCTGAAGGCTCCTACCTCATACCTCAAGTCTCCGTCGCCGGGACAATACCCTCCCCGCGCAGCCCACTCACCCCCCTTCCCTTCCTAGCCATATCTCTCCACCTGTCCTCCTGGTGGTCCAGGAGTCACGATAATAACGCTGGAAATGCTCTCACACACATTACGGGCTATTCATGCCCGTGCCACCTCTTGGGTGGCTTAATCTTTATCAATCACACACACACACACACACACACACACACACACACACACACACACACACACACACACACACACAAACACACACAACACTGGTGGGACGCGAACAAGGGGACACAGGTGGAAGCTGAGTACCCAAATGAGCCACAGAGACGTTAGAAAGAACTTTTTCAGTGTCAGAGTAGTTAGCAAATGGAATGCATTAGGAAGTGATGTGGTGGAGGCTGACTCCATTCACAGTTTCAAATGTAGATATGATAGAGCCCAATAGGCTCAGGAATCTGTACACCAGTTGATTGA